AATTACCGGATCAAATACCCGATGTAATAAATAATAAATTTCTTTAGGAAACGCGATGATGATGACAAAACGATGAAAATGGTAATGGCAATAATAAATAAGAGTGGACAATAATCTTTTTTCTAACAATGCTTTCGAATATTGGAATTTATATAAAATCTTCAGATTGATAATTAAACACAAAGCATGTATTAAATGTTATGATTGTTATATTGGTTTTATTCAATAAGCGAGACTGTGTCCGTAACGCTAATAAAAAATAATTCCTCAATTATAATACTCAAAGTGTTTATAAATTCTTTAAGAACCGGTTCAAGTTCAGGACTAGTCACAGGATTGATAACTTTAGTACCAAATATTTATTTTCGGCGTATTAGATACTCGAGACATTTTAATTTATCGAATAATTTTATTTTTGAAGCTTTAATTATTAAATCCTTTAATTTTATCTATAATTTCAGCTATAAAAACTAATATTTCTTATGATTCGTTTCCATAATAAAATTTAGTGCCACATTTTACAGTGATCCATAAATTTATTATATGTTAAATATCTAAAACAAAATATTAATATGGAAAATATGGGGATCATATTAGAAATTTTCCTAATCGGGAAATCGGAATAAAATTTTTAAAATTACAATTTGCGAAAATTATTTAAAATTTGGACCAATCTCATATTGTGTTGCTAACTCTACATTTTTGAGTTACTTTTTAATATGCAAAATTTCTAACAATGATTGCGATATTTTTTTTTTAATAATAGCCATCCAAACAACAAGACTTGTATTTGCGCCTTCTATAATTCCATAAAAATAATTAAATCACAAAAAAAGTCATACGTTTTATTATAATTTTATTAATAATTATTACGTGACTTAATTGCAGCATAACAAGGTTTGTCTGTATTTTTTACTTTTTTATTTATTTACATATGACTCGATAAATTTGGTTCTTTATTTATGTTATCAAGTACCTTAAACAATTATTGTTGCTCCCGAATTATCAAGTTTACGTATATATAAATAATCATGTATTTGACCGAATATTCTCTCTTTTTTGAGAAAAAAAAAATGAATGAAGAAGAAGAAATAAAAAAATTAATATTTATAAATACAAAATTCCCATTTTTGCTCATTTTAACTGATAAATCGTGGTATAAAATATCAAAAGATCCCAAAGTAAGAGCAAACTGGATCATTAAAAACCACGGCAAAGCACATTCGTTTTTTTACGCGATTCGCTATAATAACTTTATATCATTAGAATTAGTTGATCTTCTTATCAAAGAAAACGTGATTTTATCTAGATATCTCGTGCAACGATTATTATTACAATTCAGAAAAACCGACGATAGTTTAATTGAATTAAAAATACAAAATGACATCAACGCCAACAACAACAGCAATAATGACATGAATCAAGGAATATCTAAAGCTTCTCAATTATTATAGAAATCCTTGAGCCTTGGATATTCCAGTGGTGGTGTTTGTAGAAGCCAAATTGCGGTATGGCGAAGATATTCCCTTGAAAGAAAATGACATTATTTTGACAGGAGGTTCATTAGCCATAGACTTGGCTCCAAAAAATCAATAGAAAACTTTGAAAAATAAAGGATCTTATATTAAATAAAAAGTTCATATCAATAATTCAATTTGAAGACTCAATTGATTACCAAATAGAAATGCAAATACTAATTGTAAAGAGTACTCAGCCAAGGATGGATTTGAAAACAACAAGCAATTGAACATCATCAGGAAAATAAATCTCATGTAAATCTACGCAGGGTTTAAAACTGACCAGCATTATGCGGAAATGTTAACAGAATTACCAAAATATCGACACAATGCTGGCCAATTCTGAACCCTGCGTAGGTTTATGTAAGATTTATTTTCCTGATGATAATTGCAAGAGCAATATTAATTTATCCTGAACTAGTAGAATTCTGGATACAAATTGGCCACCATGATATATGTAAAGATGTCAATAATTAGTGTTACAAGGTTCTTTACTAATTGTATTCTACCCAAATTATAAAAATGAAGTATGTAATTATCCAACTACAATTGATTTCATTGAATGCATACAACAATTGGTCAAAGTTGGATTCAATTTGACAAAATCTGTCATGACTGATATTTTAATTTTGTATAAACAACTGCAATTCAATTTTCATATGCTGCAATTAGTTGCAATTAATTGGGGAAGCAGAAACTGATAATATCAACGAACCTAAATAATAAAAAAAGAAAAATTGGGATATTTGGCACAACGTGGAACAGAAAATGGGTTGGAGACCTATAAAAGAAAATGGACTAAAGAAAAATTTGGTTAGGGAAAGAAAAAATATTATACTACAATTATTGTTATCTTTCTTTTAATATAATTCTACTATATATGAATATTCATATTTTTATTATTTTTATATAATTTAGATATTTCTTTGTGTCATTATTATTACTGTTGTTGTTTTTGTTGTTGTTGTTGACATTGATGTCATTTTGTATTTTTAGTTCAATTAGATTATCATCTGTTTTTCCGAATTGTAATAATAATCGTTGCACAAGATGTCTAGATAAAAGTCACGTTTTCTTTGATAAGAAGATCAATTAATTCTAATGATATAAAGTTATGAGCAGTGTTGGAAATTTTATGCCGGGGTTTGTGTTACATAATAAATGCGCACATTTTTATGATCATCAAAAAAATTTTTTAATTAAACAAATAAATAAAATAAATTTTTTAATTACAGTATATAAATAAATAAAATAATATTTTAATAAAAA